AACACCTATTCAAAATAGAGATAAGCAGCTATGTTCTGAAATAGTTCGAGTAGCATTCTTCACAAAAAGCTTACAGTTTCATGTGCAAGTTTCACATACAAACTTACACTCAATATACCACTTTATTGTATTTACTTGTCAATGCGGGTGTATCGTTTGCCTGGGCCTATTATAAGCTAATACATTGGCTTGTGCTTACAACATATGTCATTGCTCCACATATTGGAAGTATATGCGACTGTATCTAGTGGTTGTATCTGGTATTAGTCATATCACTGAGCGAAGCGCAGGCGTCTTGTCTTCACGTATACGACGGTCCTACCTGTGGTACAAGGTAGTGAGCACCGCCAGGTGTGCTGAAGTGAGCACCATATGACAGACAGCGGTAGTATCACTAGGTAGACAGAAAACGGTAGTATCACTAGGTAGACACAACAGTAGTATCACTAGGTAGGCAGACAACGGTAGTATCCCTCAACAGTAGTATCACTAGGTAGACAGACAACGGTAGTATCCCTCAACAGTAGTATCACTAGGTAGACAGGCAACGGTAGTATCCCTAGGTAGACAAACAACGGTAGCATCACTAGATAGACACAACAACAGTATCTCTAGGTACACAGACAACGGTAGTATCACTAGGTACACAGACAACGGTAGCATCACTTGGTATAGTACCATCATAGTATTGCGTGCTAAAGACACCATGACACTATTGATGTATGTGTTAGCCTGCAGGCTACAAGGAACGAATCAGTGGTATTTTCATACCGACTGATGCATTGGCCCTTGCTATTTAAATTGGGTTGTGCATGCACGTATGGCTCTAAACTCATAACAGAATACGGCCTCTCAATTACGAAGATGTCGTAGTAGACGAAGAGTGATATTATATTTGATATGCATGGATGCACAAAATGTTTTCGAAGTTTAACTTTGACCAGGGACCTTTTTAAGGTACCCAGCAAAGTGAGATTTTGTGCAATATATACATGGAGGCATTTATATGTGTATATATAGAATATATATTTAGGTATATTTATATGTATGTATGTATTTATACATATATATATGCATATATCTATATATATATATATATATATATATATATA